TAATAATAGTGCACCGTGTATTAGAATTTGCTAAGCATTTTTCTTCCCACTGCCTTTCTCATTTCTCTCTTATAACCACCTTGAAAAATAGACAGGGCAGGAGGTGTGAATTTAGGTTTTACAAAGCAGGAAATTGAAATTTCAACGCGTTTGGTTATGCTGGTTGGTGATCACACAGCTAGTCAGGGTCCTCAGGGTCATGGAGCTGGTTAACGGCAGAGTTAGGCCCAGGGGTCCTTCCTTCTGATTCCAGATCCTGTGCTTCTTGGGTTCCCTTTGCAAACCTCCTGGGCCCACACCTTGAGCTGCTGACTTCTTCCCGTGTCCCCGCTGATGTTCCTGTGAGAAGTCGAGCAGGCTTATTACCAATTAAATATCCGGATGCCTGAACTGGCGAACAGGAAATGAGGCTGCTAATGCTCAGAGGAATGAAATGGAGATGCTTTTTTTTTCTTTTGTAGAATTTTGGGTCAAGTGGCCTCTTTCTGTCCTTCCCTTCCCTATGCCCTTCCAGTCTCCATGGAAACCCCAAATCAATGCGGCATATGTTGATTCATGTTTCTACTGTTACTAGGAAGCTACAAAGTGGAAATTGCTTTTAAAAGATTTGCGGAGAGCTTTAGCATGCTGACCAGAATTCGGGTCTAGTGTCCTAACGACTATTTTATCAAAAGCTCTTAGCGTGGCTCTATCCTAGGCGGCGTGTTGATTAAATAAACACACGGGGCATTTGGCAAGAAATCTCCTTCTCCACTATCGTGGCTTTTAAATATATTACACTGCAGCCTTTAACTCCCTTCATCTTCAATGTCATTGCATTTTTGTGCGATGATGCCAGGTGCTCCTTTTGCTCTTGACTAATTCCACCCTCCTCGGCTGGGCTGTTGGGAACGATGGTCTGCCAACGCTGAGCTGCCGCCCTTGAGTGTCATTAGCTCTAGGCCGGACTTCAGTCTTGACCTGGAGACTGCGGACGTCTAATGTGTTTCTGCCTAAAGGAACTCTTCGTCATTTTTCAGATTTTTCATGAATGCAAAACCGAATTCAGCCGACATCTATTAAATACCTGCTCTGTACGAGGCAATGGGAATTGATAGCGAGGGGCGTAGTCCTGGAATCTGTCTTTGCGGAGCACGTAGTCATTTGGGAGGATCAGGAGACATAAGTCACAAGCATGAACTTCAGGCCGTGATGCGGGCTGTCAGGGAATCAGAGCAGCGCCATGGCGTCGGGATGGAGAGGTTCCTTCGGATGGAGGAAGTTCTGGGAAAGCTTTGGGAAGGAGAATTTTTAGCTTGGAGGTGCTGGGTTTGGAGGAGGAGCTGGGAGTTATAAGGCAGATCCGGGGTGGGGACGGTCTGGGCAGAGGGAGCAGCTGAGGAATCGGGCATGTGCGTGTGCATATGTGTGTGTGTGTGTGTGTGTGCACATGCATACACAATGGCATTGGATGAATAAGTGGGGCAATATGATTGGACTGTCAGATAGACAAGGAGCTGCAATGGGGCCCATCAAAGATTATGAGGATGACCCGGTGTCTGTTCAGTGGGTAACTCGCGGTCGTGTATGTGCCAGAAGGCTTTGGGGGCTGATGAAATAGGTAGGAGAGTCAGTTACTTAGGAGGGTGGAAGGCCATGCACTGTGCTGTGTGCCCAATAACCTCTGACATGACAGTGTCCATGGATGGGAGGCGATGAAGTTGAGAAATAGTTCACAGATGTGATGACAAGGTTTCAAAACCAATTCAGCAAGGGGATATGGAGGAAACGAAGCCAATACCTGTGCTTGTTATCCTGAGGAGCTAGGATGGAGCCCACAGGAAAGGAGGGTTAGGGGAGAGAGGTGGTCACATCAGAGGCAGGGGTGTCTGCAGAGTCTGAGAGGGGAGGGCTGTCCAGCAGACCTCTGGGAAGTTGGTCTGGAGCTCAAGAGAGGCAGGATTGAAACCCTGATCCTGGAGAAAAGCAGTGGCCGGCGCCTGCAGGGTGTGGTTTCCCAGGAGGGCAAGTGTAGACTGGGAAGGGCAGAGAGAGTCAGGGCGGCCTGAGAAGCCAGAGCAGGGCTTGTAATGGCTGTTTTCCTGGGGAAAACCATGCAGATCAGCACCCAGGAAAGGATCTGGAGCTCTGGATTCCTGAGCAGGGGCCCCCAGGACGTGATGCATTGTCCAAGTAGGTGAATGCCTTTCTCATTAGCACTCCAACCCGCTTGCCTTCTCTGTTTCTCTCCTTCAGGAGGAGAGACCTTGACAGAATGCTTACCCCTCGGGGCAGCTTAATTCCCCCCCCCCCACCCCCCGAATTCTCTATGCACCTGGCTCTGTAGGAAGGACGATTAAGGGAGAGTCCTCCCCTGAAAGGGGGCCGTACTTGGTCTGTGTTTCTCAAACTAGGGTGCAGTGTGGTTACTCCTTGATGTTTAGGAGTGTTTTGATTAAAAAAAAAAAAGAGTTTGGCCCAGAGTGTGGCTTGGTGGTTGAGCGTTGACCTGTGAACCAGGAGGTCACGGTTCAATTCTAGTCAGGGCACATGCCGGGTTGCCGGCTCCAGGCTCCATCCCCCGTGTGGGGCGTGCAGGAGGCAGCCCATCAATGATTCTCTCTCATCATTGATGTTTCTCTTTCTCTCTCTCCCTCTCCTTCCCTCTCTGAAATCAATAAAAACATTTGGGGATAAAAAAGAGTTTGGACTAGTTTGAGTTTTCTCTTCTTACTCACCGCCACTGCATGTCCACACACTACTGAACGTCTGTTCTTTATATTCCTGTTCTCCTTTACACTTTTATTAATTAACCATATTAATTATTGTGTCTTTCTTTAAACATTTGGCTTGGCTTATTGACTCCCTGTGACTATTATTGCTCTAAGGCTAATTGAAGATTCTGGTGCCTGGTTAAGGTTGGTCAGCCTCTACTCGAGACTTGAGCCCACCTGCAGCCCTGACTTATCTCCTTGGTGCCTTTCAATTCCGGATGCCAGAATGGGCAGCCTGGGACCTGAAGGAGGCCTTTATCCCGCCAGTTTAGACTTCTCATAGAGAAGTCCCCTGCTGTCACTACCTTTGTGTTAAAGCAGTGGTTCTCAACCTTCTGGCCCTTTAAATACAGTTCCTCGTGTTGTGACCCAACCATAAAATTATTTTCATTGCTACGTCATAACTGTCATGTTGCTACTGTGATGAATCATAATGTAAATATCTGATAGGCAGAATGGTCTTAGGCGACCCCTGGGAAAGGATCTTTCGCCCGCCAAAGGGGTCGCGACCCACAGGTTGAGAACCGCTGTGTTAAAGCCAGGGGCAGAGCTGAGGCTGGAAGCACGAAGTTTGGTATTAGATACCAGTTCTGCCACTTATAATGGCTTGTCTCTGTTTTTCCATCTTAGTGTGGGGATGATAAAGATGTCGCTGGCCTTGTAAGTGTGTTGTGAGAGTTACTAGTAAATAAGATAACACAAGTACAAATGTTTGGTACAGTGACTAACACATAAGTGTTCATTAAACATTAGGTATGTGTGTGGAACCCATGCATGGGGCCCCTTATGCTATACACTTATCTGGGATTAGAGAAGTGCCGATCAATGGGCTTTTAATCACCAGTTCTGTGTACCTCTTTCTTATGGTAGAGTACCAGGAACATGGCCAGAAGTGAAGGGATTCTCTTTATACTTAAATTCTGAATCCCGGCTAGCATCAGTACCAGGAACATGGCCAGAAGTGAAGGGATTCTCTTTATACTTAAATTCTGAATCCCGGCTAGCATCAGGGTCCAAGGCAGGGGCTGTGAGGGATGGAAAACGTTTCTTTTGCATCTCACTTTATAACACCAAGTTCCCTTTACCTCACAGAGGGGCACTGTGGACGTTTCAGACAGAGACAATGAGTCACTGTGGAGGCAGCACCAGCATTTTGATTTCCTTCTATCATTTCACTGCGAGAAAACAGGTTACGCACCAACAGATCTGCTGGGAAGGACTGGGTCCCAGCATGACGTGGCGAAGAAAGCTCTGCCGCGAGAGTCACAGAGAACAAGTCCTGGTCCTTGAGCTCCTCTTAGTTGTGTCACTGCGAAAAGGGGGTGCCGCTGTCTAGCCTCAGTTTCCCCATCTGTAACTCCAGGCTAATAACCCCCTCTCTCACTGCGACATGGGATTGCTAATACTTAGAAATGCTTTCCACATCGTAAAAGGCTAAAGCAAACGGAATGGAGTGTCTTTATTAAAAAGCCAACTCTTTCTACAGAGATCTGGCTGCCTCCAGCAAATTCTACCTTCTGGGTTTCAGAAACAACTTGCAGCAAAGGCTGGGTGCACTGGGAGCGAGTTCCCGGGTGGGAGCAGGGGGCCCAGCTCCAGAGACCTCGAGCGGAATGAGGAGAATCTGAGCTTCATCCCAAGGCGGTGGTCCGCGAATGTTAGCATCAGAATCACTGGAAGGCTGGACCCCATGCCCAGCGTTTCCGAGTCTGTATGTGTCGGGTGGGGCCTGAGACGCTGCATTTCTAACACACACCCAGGTGACGCTGAGCGCTGCCAGTCAGGGGCCACGCTCAGAGAACTCCTGCATTAGGGCAGGCGGGAAGAGGGGGTCCTCCTTCTGAACTGAACAGGCACTGTGAAGGTCCACGTGGGTACGGCGGTCTGGAAGAAAAAAAACGTAGAAGACAGAAAAATTGGAATAATGCGCAGAATGGGCAGAACAAAGGGAAAAGTCTCACTCCATAACCTATGCAAGTAGGGGGAAGTTGCTAGGTGATGGATGAGGGAGAGAGGTGAATTTCCACTGCAGGAAAAACCAAGTGAGAGACAGGAGCACAGAGTTGGAAATAGACATGTTCGGGGAGGTGGAAATTTCTCATTAAGAAGTGAGGGGTGGAGTGGTGGGGGTCGGGGGGCCGGGGGAGGGGTGGGAGTGGAGAAATGCCTCTGTAGAGTAAGGGGACCGCTGAGAGGTGGCAGAGGGGGTCTTAATGCTGAGCTCGGTGGTTTGGCTCGGTACTGCAGCATAATAGAGACTGGGAGAAAGGAGGTGGAATTTAGATGTGTGACCTGCCCCGTAGCTTTCGTGCTCTCTGCATTTATCACATCACATCACACCCAGCAAGACAGCCCCCTCCTCCTGGCTCATTAGGAGATTTGGTTCGGCGTGGCTCCTGCTGTCAGCAGCTGTCTGGGGCGAGGTCTTTATGCTCCCTGCTCCCTGAGCGGCAGCCAGCCTTCAGCGGGCAGCGGAGCTCATTAGAAGGGGGCCCCCTGGCCACTGGATTTCATTGGCGGCAGGAAAGAGTTAATGCCGCCGGCTTCGCTGCCCCCTGCACAGTCTCTGGGTGCAGAGGGAGGCAGCTCTGGGCTGTGGGGACTTCTCCCTGAGCCTCAGCCAAAGAAGCAGGGGAGCAGCTTCACGAAGCTGAGGAGGAAGGTGCGGGAGGAGTGCCAGGCGAGCTCCGCGCAGGGGCACCTCCAGGATCCTGCCAATGAGGATGGGCGTGCAGCCCGTGCCCCGGAGCTGAGCCGCCGCCCGCTGGGTGTAGGCTGCTCCAGTATTTATTGGATGTGACAAACCGGGAGAAGAGATTTCAGCGGGGCTGCTCGCTGCCCGGCTCAAGTGGTGGGAGGTGGATTGTGCATGCATGCATGTGGAGATGTGTGTGCGTGCCCGCGTGTGCCTGCGTGTGCATGCACACATGCCCTTCACCCGCCAAGGATTTGACTGCTAAACTGCTAAAAGACAGATCTGCTCTCTCCCCAGACCTCCTTCACCCGCAGCCTCTCTGACCATCCCGTTGGCAGAGACCCGCAGGCCATGAGGACCGGTCAGAGACAGTGAGTATTGCTTCTGCTTTCTCCTCTCTGGGTGCCCGTGTGGGCTGAATGCATTATCCATATTTAATTAACCTGCCTCTCCATATTGATTGCTTTCTCTCCACCGAGGCTTAGTCTCTCTTCCCCTCTTTATAAATCTTTGCTCTTTGCTTTTAATCTTTTTTTTCCCCCTCTGAGCATCCTCTGTTTCCATTTTGACCCATCCTGTAGAGTCACCTGTAACTTGATGTCCACCTTAGAGGGCACATGAACTGTGGGTGTAATCGCACTGCTGGTTTTCCTGGGCTCTGGGTAACCCCAAACTCTGTCCCCCAAAAGTCAAGGGCCAAATGGGATAAGAGCCTCGAGGTGCTGGGGTGAATGGGGAAGCTGGGGTCAGAGAACCTTGCAGGTCCTCATTCCATGGGCTCCAAGGCTGAGCTCACGGAAGGGGCGGTGGAGGGTCTGAGGCTGGTGGGCACGGCTGGATTTGGAAGAGAGGGAGGCAGGCATGTAAGCAGCTCCAGCAAGCCGGTGTGGGCTAGCGGTGGGAATGGGAAGAGTGACAAGGCAGTGACAGGAGGCCTGGTGAAACTTGCCCCAAACGACCTTGCCTCTGCTGTGTGTGGGGGTGGGAGTGCCTGGTTCTGCTCAGCTCCAGGGTTGTGAAGGCCCCTGGCCTGGGCTTCCCCCTCCTCTGCGGCTATATCCCACAATCCAGAGAAAACGAGGCTGAGATGCCCAGAACAATGATTTCTAGAGATCCTGACAGCTATGAAAGGCTTCGATCTCCTGACTTCTGAGCAAGCAGGTGTATGGGAACTGTTCCTGCTGTCAGGGAACACAGCCCCTGTCATATCCTGGGGATGAGCCTTACATAAAATCGAACTTTTTTTTTTTTTAGTTTTAATAAAGCAATCTCGTTATTTTATTAATTGTGGTATTATTCAAAAAGGTATTATAAAAAGTCTTTGTGAAATGTTCCTAGTAGTAGCAAAAGAATTTAAGTGGATCTCAGAAGGGCCTTATCTATCTAAAGGTTTCTTTTAAAATGGATTCTATGTTTGGTGCCAGGGTTCCCCAGGGGATCCCTTTACGGATAGACTGCTGTCTTCACACGTTTCTTCCTACCAGTTCTCTTCAATGGGAACAAAGGGCTTGAAGCCCTGAGAATGGGACCCTCGGGAGAGCGAGATTATCCGTCAATCAGCCCTCAGCCTCTGTCCCCTTTCCCTGATGTCCTCCTGCTTCAGGTCGGGGACGGGCCAGTCCGGGGGCTGAGGTGGGCCATGCAGCTTCCATACGGAGGAGGAAGAGTGACTTGGGTATTCATTTCTTCAGTCTGCATCTGGGATCCCTGCAAAGGAGCAAGCCTGTGCAGTGACAAGTGCCTGGCAGGCTTCCCCTGGAGTTACCCAAACCTTCCTCTCGCTCATGTCCTCCCAAGGCTCCCACACTCTCACCTCTGGGACAGGTTCCAACCTTGGAGGGAGGTGAGAATCAGAGCAGTAGCCAATGGACTGTTTCTGGAGCAAGTGCTGTGCTCCCTGCCCTCCCTCCACATGGTCCCCCCTCTTGGCTGGCTGGTCACAGGATCCCACTCAAGTAACACAAAGAAAACAGTAATTTTTGGCTCGCCAGGCCCATGCCTTCCTCCCGTGGGGCACCTGCCCCACTTTACTGTTGATGGCCAATAGTTAGGGAGATAGAAACTCCTGACCAGCAGGCAGCAATGTGAACCCACCCAACAATTTTTTCTTGTCCATCCTTGGTTCATCTCCCTGTCCCGGGACTAGTAGAAGTTTGTGGGGAACGGGGTGTGAGCGGGGAGGTATTCAGTTGGTAGAAAGCCATCAGAAAGGATTTCTAGCTCAGTCAGAGAAGAGAGGGTGGCCCCCTCTTACAGCGGATTCTTTGATTTTAGGTGAGAGGACGTGAAAGGGTAAATCCCTCTGCCCCGCAGTCTTATCTCCCGCCCTGACGTCCCTGCACACCGGCCAGCGGGTTAACCATAAGCGGGTGCCTGTATGGCCGCCTTACTGATGCCACGCAGGTAACTGATGCCAACCTGTCTTTTTGCCCCTGCCCCTCTGCTCTTTCTCCACCTGCTCTGCTCTTTGAGCCTCCCACGGGGAGGCCACTTGTATCCGTCCCCCAGGCCTCCTGTACAGACTGCGCTGTCCTTCCCTGGGTGCTTCTTGCAAAGTTACGGCCTTGCAAGCAGAACCTGCTTTAGCACCAAGCTTTCCCATCGACCAGTGGGATTCAATGTGCATGAGCTTGTATTGAACCATCAAGGGACTTCTATGAGTTACTGGGACAGGGGAAGAGGATGAGGGCTAGCCTAGATTTTTTTTTTTTTAATCCTCACCCAAGAATATGCTTAGAGAGAGAAACATCGATGTGAAAGAGAAACATCGATAGGTTGCCCTCTACACCTGCCTGACCAGGTATGTGCCCTGATCAGGAATTGAACCGGCAACTTTCTGGTGCACAAGAGCATGCTCAACCGACTGAGCCACTTGGCCAGGCAAGCTTTTGAAAGTAACCTTAACCTCTGGTTCTTGCTTCTGCTCCTATTATTTCAGACTGAACTGAAAGATTAGAACTGAGGTCTCAGCTAGACAAGATGGAAAATCAAAACCATTTTGTTCCAAAGAATAAATCGTGGAAGACTTTTGCAAACTATTGGGAGAATCATTGTTGTCTTGGTAACAAGTAGCGCTCTTTGCTCTGGCCCCTGCTAACCCTTGTTAGAGGGCTTGCATGGATCTGACATTTTTTGGAAATCCTCTTAATTGCTTTTCGGGGGCATGGCCTGGTGTCACAGCGGCCTGTGATTTGTAAGAGTGAGTGGACATGAGACGCTAGAGCAGATGTTTTGAATGCCAGGAAATCCGTGGCTTCACAGTGCACCTGGCTGAGAGGTGGGAGCACAGGACGTGCAGGCTCAGTTTTCTGCAGGATAGTGGACATTTCTGGGAACTTGGATGTCCCAGCCTTAAAAGACCCTTTCCTCAGAGATGGGCAGGGGCATACGAATGTTGTCCATGCTCGCCAAGTGTAATAACATCCCAGTAGGTGTTTGTTAGATTTCTGTGAATATTTGCCCGAGGGGGTCAAATCCCACTTGAAGTGAAAGGAAGAGATAGAAATAGATGAGTTGTAACATTTCTGCTCAGGCCCAGGATTTGTGAAAAAGAGGGAAGAAACATCAGGCGGGAAGGACTTCCCTTCAACATGGAGCATAACATCTCCTAGGACCGTTTCCAGGGCACATTGTTACAGTGTGTGGTCCTGATCTGATTATACCAACCCCCTGCCACTTACCTTTGCCCTCCATGCGAGGAGTTGCCGGGGTTAAAGTTCGGAGCCAGAGAGTAAATATTTTCAGCTTTTGGGCCATATAGTCTGTGTTGCAATCACCCAACTCTGCCCTTGTGCTCAAAAGCAGTGTTCCACAATACTAGTATGTAAACAGATGGGAGTTGTTGTGTTCTAATAAAACTTTATTTACACAAACAGGCATCTTCCAGGGCTGACCTCTGGTTGAAGGTAAAAGGGGCTAATGTTGGGAATCAGAAAGAGACATGAACACAATTTCTCATTGGATCCTCCACAATAGATAACTATAATGAAGTGTCTGGACCTTAGGAAAATAAAATGTATGAGAATTCTAAACATGTATGTTAAAAATTTTAAGCCTGCTGATTGAGAGATGCCAAAATACAAACAGGAATAGGAGAGCTTAGTTAAGCAGAGAAAAGAACTGACTAAGGGGACACAGGTTCTTCATGGCCGAGTGTTCCAATCTCCCTTCTTCTCACCGGCAGGCATGGTCCTTGCTGGTCTGTAGCCATTCGTGTATATCCCCAGGTTTGTGGGATGAGAGGGGAAACCCGAGTCCCACTTGACCTGCCTGGACACCCCAAGCTTTGTGCTCTGAGACCCTGTGAGATGCATTCCTGTATCACGCGAGTGCTCAACCCTCCACTCTGTGTGGGAGCTGCTCTGGGGCCTTTGCAGTCGGGAGCTGTGGCGGCCACAGCTTCGCCTTCCTAATGGAGAGCAAAATGTGGTTTGTTATTTTGACATCACTGTATTTCCTCTCCCTACAGAGAATCCTAATTTAGAAATTCTTCCAAGCTAACGACCTTCATTGACTTACCATCAACTTGCATGTCAGCTTTAAAAAGCTAGGCCTCCCGGGGAGGGTACCTATTGCTATTTCTGTAGTCGAGCTAGGGAGTGAGAATATCCCTTGATCTTCTAGGTTTTTCCTGATGGAGAAATCTTCAACCCACCCCGCCCTGGGGGCATGGTGGGGTTGGGGAGGTGGTGCTGGCTTCGGCAGCAACAACTCCAGGGGCCCTATTATGGAGCTGATAGCTCTTGTCATGACAGGCCAGGCCCTTCTTGTTGCAGGAACAAAGGGATGAGGACTCGACTGGGATGCCTGTCTCACAAGTCAGACTCGTGTAGTGATTTCACAGCGATTCTTCCCGACAAGCCCAACCGTGCTCTGAAGTGAGTAGTAATGGCCACTTGGCATCCCGGGTGCCCAGCGTGGGGCTCCCGCCGTGTGGCCACAGAACCCGTTCTTCTCTAGTGAGCTGTTGGCCAGATGAACCGAGAGACAATACATTCCCGCCTCCTGGCAGCTCCTTTTAGACACCTGAATGTGAATGACAGAATGGTTATTATCCGTTCCTACTGTATCACTTAGCACACCTTTTCACTCTTTTCACTTTTAAGAAAATCATATTAACCACCACTTTTCTACAGCTGCGGTGGAGGATATTTCTTGGCCCTACTTTGTTGTCAATCTGAGCTCTCGATTTGGAAATGAACACTCCAATCTATTTGAAAAATCTGCTTAGGTTGAGATAAACTGGATTCAGTGCCTCTACCGTGCAGGCCCAGAGTTAAATGATGTCACAGATGTCACCTCATTTAACCCTCCTAGGGTTCCATCATGGGTGTCCTCGTCCCCCTTATAGAGGTGAAGAAATTAAGGTGACAGAGAGGGAGTCGGAGCTCAGACTAACTTTCCTGACTCCAAGACCAGTTTTTCTCCATAGTGATCTTGACATTTTTAAATCATGCAATTGCTTAGCTTTGTTCTTTAGATTGAAAGATACTAAATTCCCAGAAGGCCAATCCCGAGATTTCCACAACCATTTCTTAGGAATGTAACACATTCCAGTTACAGAATTTCAGGAATCCAGGTATGGTCTTTTTTTTTTTAATATATTTTATTGATTTTTTACAGAGAGAAAGGGAGAGAGATAGAGAGTTAGAAACATCGATCAGCTGCCTCCTGCACACCCCCCACTGGGGATGTGCCCGCAACCCAGGTACATGCCCTTGACTGGGATCGAACCTGGGACCTTTCAGTCTGCAGGCCGACGCTCTATCCACTGAGCCAAACCGGTTTCGGCGAGGTATGGTCTTCATTTGCCCTGCATTGTTCCGATCTGTTCTGCTGGCAGATCTCAGTGGTGGCTGAAGGCGAGAAGGTCATTTCAAAAATAGTCAAGAGAGATGGTTTTTCTTTTCTAGGAGACTTTCCACAGAAGAAGCCACCAGGTGGGCCGATTCCTTTGACGTGCTTCTCTCCCATAAGTGTGAGTAGAATTCAGGTTTCGCGCTATCTGGGCAAGTCACTCATTTATTAAAACATGCTGCCTACCATGCACCAGGCAGGTGCTGTGCAGCTCCAGCCCCTGCCCTCAGAGCCTCCTGTCTGGAAGGGCGTATGGATCACAAAACATAATTTCCATGCAGTGGAAAAGGGCCTTCTTTCTGTTTTCTGGGTTGAAAGTAAGGTCCTAAGAAGCCTTTACGTTCTCAGCAGGTTTAGCTAGAAAACTGTGAGCTTAGGGAGTTGGAGTGAGGGTCCAGCAGGAACGAGAGAGTCTCTGTTCCATCCCAGATCTCATTTATAGATGAAATGACCTTCCCCCCGGGTCACTGGAGAGCCTTGGGTGACTCTCCTCAAATGCAGATCCTGTGCATTTTGTCGTTTGCTGGAGTCGGCAGATTTTTTTCTTGTTGCTTTTTATTTTGGGGGGTTTACTATGCCAGCTGCATTGTGCCCCCAGGTTTCTGACTGGGTGCAAGTCTAACTAGAGCACACTTCCTTTCCCCTATTTCCTCATCTTTTAAGCCTTGTGTTTCTCACAAAGGCAGACATAGTTGTGGGAAGGGAACCTTGACGCTGGCCCCACTTTTCAGTCCTGGCTCTTTTCTCACCGTAAACAAGTCCAAGTCCATTAGGCTTTAACATCCAGGTGACCTTAAATACATGGGAGTGGGAGAGAGCAGGGTCTTTGGAAGGGAAATGGATTCCCTCGGACCGTTGGTGCTCCTCTCCAATGTGGTTTGTCACCATTAGAAGTCCTGGTGGATCTGGGAACAGAAGGACTGTTTTTAGTTTAGTGAATTGATTCCAGTGAATGGGGGAACACGGTTTTGTATAGTGACGTGAAGAGCATTGGTTGGTAGTCAAACCTATCTTCTCAGTTTTGACCCGATGGGTTGAGTGGCCCTGATGGAGTCCCTCGGTCTTCAAAAGATGTCTTTACAAGTGATTTTGCTTTCAAGTGGGTGAGCAGTTTCCTCTGCCTGTGTCCATGATCCTAATGCTTATTAATAAACTAGAGGCCCGATGCACGAAATTCGTGCAAGGGGTTCAGCCCTCACAGCCGCAGATGCTTGCCTTGGCCCTCGCAGCCCTGGCTTCATCAGGAAGGTTATCTGGAAGGACGTCCAGAAGGTCGTTCGGCTGTCCGGTCTAATGAGCATATTACATTTTTATTATTATAGATGCTTCTGAATAGATTTTAAAATGAAATGTGAAATCTCACTAGAAGCACATATTGTAGCAAGTAACTTTGTGAGATCGTCATTTTAGTGTTCTAGGGATTATACTTAGGAAGGAAAATAAAGCAGCATACTACAGCATATATAACATATGGCTGCGGCCCCAAACAGAAGCTTATGTGGTGAATTTGCCAAAGTAATGGCATATGTAGGATAATACTTAAGATTTGACAGTAGCACTTGTGTTTTTTTTTTTTAATGGGGACATTCTGACTTATTTTCTGGAGGCGCATTGGGCTACAGGAGTGTCACTATCAATTTACACCTTTTCGGGTTGGATTTGACTCAAGGTCATCTTGAGTCTCGCTTCTATTTCGGATTCATGACTGACTCACTCAGTTCAAGTCCCTGAGGCGCTTTCCTTGTTCTAAAATGGGGCTAGAAGTACCTGTGTGCCACCCATCACCCAGATATGAGATTCTTCAGAGAAGGACACCTTTGGATAATTTTGGGTTCTCAACTCCAAGGTGTTTTGTAAGAATATGGTGTTTTTAATTATCAAATGCAAAATAAATGTGAGAACAAGGTTGCAAGGTTGCTGCCAATCGAGTCATTAGAAACAGAGTTTGGGTGTAAAATGAGTGGCTGGAAGCTTCCGGTAATTGGGGGTTGCTGCAGTGGCAAGCGCTGGAGATGGAAGAGGTTTGACTTTATTTGCTTGATTCGGCGACTCTTAGAACTGAAGACACTTGGTTCTGCTTTTGTCGGGATGCTTTTGGTTTCCAGGAATTCAATGACACTCTTCTGAGATGAGGACTCCACTAAGGGGCAGAGGCTGACGCCGGATAGCTTCTTTGGAAAACTACTACGGCAATAGGCTTTGGACTTTGAAGTTCTGTGATCCACCTTGGAGTCCAATGTTCTGTTGTTATTTCTGTTTCGTATGAGAATAAAAAGCCAATGGAGTGAATGTCTTTGAGAAAAAGGGGGTCTCTATGCAGGGGTCACTGGCAGCACTTTAAGGTTTTAGAACTTGAACATTTACTCCCCATGACGGTGGTGGAGGAGTTGGAGCCCAGGTTGCCTTCAAGAGTACTGACAGCTTTCTAAAAGTCTGACTAATTTGGGTTAGTTTTGTGGCTCAATTAGGGCTGATTAGGCTTTTCCAAAGGGATTGTGTGTGTGCTGGTCCCTTAGGAGGGACAGCAGTTGATCAGAGGTATACAGGGCCTTCCATTAAGACAACAAAATGTCCTAAAAAAGTAAAGAAAGGAAAATCGCTGAATGACTGGGTTCCAGAAAAAAATGTGTGTTAATCTAGAACCTACTCTCTGGCAATTCTCCACATCTAGGCAGCTGTCCCTCCTAAGTTTTCTATTTCAGAAAAATTCAAATAATTATTGTTGTTCCCATGCTCCATCTACAGAGCATCTCTGCCAGCCCTGCTTTGCTGGGTATTTTGGGCAGTCATTTGTTTTACAAAAGGTGCATTTGAGTGTTCACTGTGTACAAAATCTATGCCACACAGCTGGTTGGCTGATGAATAGAACAGTCCCTCCCTGGTGGAGAATGCCACTTTCTGAGGAAACAGGCATGCATTCACTCAACACAAGAAATAATACAGTGTGCTGACTGCAGACGGGGGGCCCACAAGACTGCAGATCGGACCCCGACATCCAGTGCCCCTCTTAAAGTCCATCTTGTCCATAATAGAAGTCCTCACTTTTGGGAGCAAAGGGCTGCTTTTAGTTTAGAGCAGCGGTTCTCAACCTGTGGGTCGCGACCCCTTTGGCGGTCGAACGACCCTTTCACAGGGGTCGCCTAAGACCATCCTGCATATCAGATATTTACATTACGATTCATAACAGTAGCAACATTACAGTTATGAAGTAGCAACGAAAATCATTTTATGGTTGGGTTACAACATGAGAAACTGTATTTAAAGGGCCAGAAGGTTGAGAACCACTGGTTTAGAGCATTGTTTCCATTTAATCAGGGGACATACTTCCGTACGGTTAGGAAGAACTTGGCTGGTAGTCAGATTTTGACCCAGCCCTGCCACACAACAGCTGGGCAGCCTTGGCAGGATCCCTGCCTCTTGGAAAACCTGTTTCCTCATCTCTACAGTGAAGGGTCTGGAGTAGGATGTCTCAGAGGCTGGATTCAGGTCCGCCCCCTAGATCTAGGATGCCGTCTGCAGTAACCATTGAGGCCCAGCAGTAACCAGACACCCTCCGCAGGTGACTGGAGTCAGTGCTGCCTGCAGGGTCATGTAAAACTGCTTCAAAGCTGAAATAGCTGGAGCAACTGGAAGAGGGGTGACCGCACCTGTGTTAGGAAACCTCCTCTCTTGGTCAGGGTCCCACAGTTCAAATCAACTAATTCCAATGGCAGGGGGTCAAAAAGCAAGTCCACTAGTTCTTAAATCTGAGAATGAAAAAAAAAGTCTGGGAGGCAAATATTTGGAGCAGTTTTATTTCCAATCACATTTGCTGACAAATGCAGTATGAAGCTGAAGAAGCGTCCGTAGAGGTTGGGGAGATAATCACTTGCTAAGTGCTCTCTCTCTCTCTCTTTTAACTAACAAATGAAAAATGAAATTAAAATTGCTGATGGCTTCATTAGATAGGGAAGGATTTATAATGTGTGTTAATTTGGCATCATTTTCCTGTTCATCCAGTGACAATTAGACTGGGTGTCTAAGTTGGGCACGTAGCCTGCCCCCCAGGGTGTGTGTGTGTATGTGTGTGTGCTCACGTGTGCTTGCTCAGACACCCAGAATCCTTTCTGCTTCTACAACTCATACCCTGAGTGTGAAGGCTCCCAGGTTGTGGGAGATCTTTTCTGACTGGCTGCTGGAGAGCAGGCCCAAAACTGGGCGTCTTCTGCTTTCATTCCTCATGAGGTTCCGACACATGCTCGTAATTTGTCCAGCTTTTAGTGCAGGGATGAGGAATGTCTGGCCTGCGGGCCCTATGAGGCTCAAGAAATCATTTGGTCTGGCCCTGCCAAGGCAGTAGGGGTGAGTTAAGTAAATGTTTGACCAAAGATAGCAGGCTAATTTTGAAGTTGATAAATTTGTATGGCCCATGAATTATGTTACAAATATCCATATGGCCCTTGGCAGAAAAAAGATCCCCCACCTCTGTTTTAGTGGGACATTCAGTCCTTATCTCCAAATCAGCCCTCCCTTCCATTCTTCCTTCCTTCCTTCCTTCCTTCCTTCTCCCTCCCTCCCTCTAATTCTCGTCTTCCTTCCTCCATCCCTAGCTCCCTCCTTCCTTTGTTTCTTGGACATAAAAGTTGGGTTCATTCCACTTTTAAGGTGAAGGTGTTCCTTCCCCTTTCCTCTCGCCTCTTTCAGCCTGATCCCACACCTGGATGACAGAGCCCCTCACTCTGGGCATCCCTTTGGTCCTTAGGTTTGTTTCATTGTTTGCACGGAACGTGGAGGGTTGATGCTGACCTGTCCCCACCAGGCCTAGGGAAGGAAAGGTTAATGGAATAGGATGATTGAAAGCTCTTTTGCGTTTGCAGAGTTGGCATCCATCTCTGAGAAAAGAGACTAATAAAGAAGCATTTCGTTTTCAAAAATTAGCCTCCTTAGGGATAACGGTTGAAATATAGAAAAATGTAATGACTTGATTGGGTCACACAGCAACTAAGCAGAAAACAAACCAACCAACCAAACAAATACTACTATTACCAACTCATGAAATTTCTTAATTATCCACCCAAGTGGTCTTTAGCGCCCACCAAAGCTTGAGAAGCACTGCTCTGAAACGCGAGTAGGTACAACCGG